AAATAGAGTTTACTGGTGTCTCTTTATTGATCTTAAAAAGCTCTTTGCCGTCGATAATAAATATTTCATTTAATATTTCACAATAACAAAATACATATTAGTAACAGGAAAAACGTTTTTCAAAAGAATTTTTATTTGTTTTTAATAAAAACTTTGCTGCCCCAATAAATACAATTTCTTAAAATCCCTATTTCGGGTGTTTCCGCCCTATTCGGGTATTATCGCACGCTTCGGCGTTCAAACGCGTTGTCCGAGCCTGCCGGCACGTTCACTTGCTGATTGTTTGTGGACGGTACGTTGAGCTTGCAATTTTAATTTAAAATTTTTAAATGAATAATAATTTAATTATTATTATTCAAATTAAAAAAGTGGCCAAGAAAATATTTTGTTTACCGTGTGTTGTGGGTGATCCGTCCTGTGACTGGCTTTTTTCTCTGGACTAGGTATAATGGAGTACAAGAAAATTCTAGAAGAGTGGGGCTTCTTCATTTTATGGAAAATTTTGAAAGTAAGTTGACTAACTTATTTTTTATGAAAATTATTTTGTTTTAAATAGAATTGACAATATAAGTGTAATTTTTGAAGTACTTATTATTAGAGTAAGTAAAGGATTTATTATTATTAGAGTAAAGGAATTCCTACCACCCCTAAATTCCAATTAATGAACTCGCCCGCCTTTCTCTTTTAAGTATCTATCGCCCGCCTTTGCCTTTACGTATCCATCACTTATACCTGTATTTCTCCAATTTAAATTGGAGAAGGTAAGGTAAGTTATAGATACGTAAAGGAAAGTGATAGATACGCAAAGGCGGGCGATAGACAGGTAAAAGGCAAAGGCGGGCGATAGACACGTAAAAGGCAAAGGCGGGCTAGTTCATTAATTGTAATTATAGGGTGGTCGTTAATTGCAATTAATGGACTTGAAAACGATAACTTTGTTTTATCTCAGAACTGAATGTCTGCAAATTTCTGAGATAAAAGTTATTGTTTTCAAATTTATTTTAATTTATTTTTACTGATCAAAGGCATTTCTGGAAGAACAACTTGTATAGTGATAATTTATCGGGGGTTAATGCAAGAGGTCAATTTTTTACCGGATAATTTTTTTTACGAAAATCTTTTTGCCATAAAAATTAGTCGAGAATTAAGGTCATTTTTCCAATGTCCCTTAATTCGAGATTTTAATGAAAAAAAGGTTTAAGATAATTAAAAAAAAATTATTAGGTTAAAAATTTACTTCGAGTGTATTATGGGAAGATAAATACATGAATTTAAATATTTTTATATATACCTATTTATACACCGTAATACGGTGACCGTATACGGTATACCTTCATTTGCAAGATATACATAAGGAAAATACATTGTAGGTAGACCAAACAAGTCGAAGTCAGCACGAAGCGAAAACGTTCCCAAAAATTATTTTGACGCGTCGACGAGCTGGCTGACATGCGCCGTAACAGGTGACCATGTCTACTCGCATCTGGAGTGCCATTTAAATGATTAATAAATAATTATTTTCATAGGAATACTTTTTTAATTTTGTATGTTAGGTATCTTTTTAGTAGAAGTAGTAATAAGAGTTAATACATTATGTATTATACATATAAATAAAAAAATGTTTGTTTAATAACTTTGTTTATTTCTTTGATAGGTATTTATTAATTACCCTACACTTTAGGCTTTTTTCTTTTTTTATTGGTGCAAATGTTATTTTTTTATTTTAAACCGTGGTGTTGATATAAAGCGTCTATACAGGTTACCACAAATTCAATGTACTGCACTGGAAATACCTACAATGTTGGGTTAATTTAAGACAAAGTTGGGCTTTTTGATGATAAATAAAATGCAGTTATGCCATTCAACATTTTAATCTTAAGTACGATATCACTATTACATGAAGAAGAAAATGACTGGAAGGTATATACCATTAGGTCGTAGACATACATTTTTATTTTTTAAAATCAATCCGCAAATTTTTTTATTTTAAAACGCCAGCTTAAATATAACTTTTTCACACGTTTTATCTTAGAACAGTAAATTTCTGGTACCCTGTAGCTATAGCTGCACTTGAAATCTATAGGGTGTCACCAAATAAGATATCATCATATGGGGGATGATCACAGCAAACGGAAAATTATAGAGGTGTATAGGATGACGCCACGTTTGAATATCGATTTCTAAATCTCCCTACGGTATAGAGTTGTATTCGTCAGTCGAGCGTTTCAATACTCTCCACAGTATAGAGGTCGTAATTTCACTTTTGAACTAGTATTAATATAAAAATTATTTTATGCTTAAAAAAAAACTATATACGACATGATTGTGATTTTTTTCATTTTATTAATTAATTAAGCTGTGTTGAATATTTTTCCTAAAGGAATAATTGCCAATGGGCCATTAATTCATTTGTTCGTGGATGCTACAATAACCTGCACTGGTGTGTACTTTTTCATCAACCAGATTTAAATATTACAAAATTAACATATACCAGTGGAGATAGTGCAGGGTCTACCAACAGACCTAATTACTAAATTATTAAAGTTTAATAGCATATCGATCATTTTTCAACATAACCTCTTAAATTTTTAATACAAATATAGGTACTTTATATAATACATAAATATACTTAACATCATATCCTCTGTGCTTTACATACCTGAGTTGTTACGGTAAATAAAAATCAGACAAAGGAACCAAAGAAAGGAACTATTTTCAACAAAATCATATGGAGAAATGAGAAAATTCATCCATCAAAAGATCAAAACTTCTTGCAATATTACACCCTCTTTTTATACTCTCAGAAATATTGACTAGAACAGTATTAGAGAGACTCCAGTTTCTATAACTTGGTAGAGTAAAGAGAAGTCGAAACCGTTGCGATATTGCATTGCGCTGTTTTTGTATAATTCTCGGGGACATTAACGAAAATCATTGCCAGTAAAATTCGAAAAGCTTGAGTTTCTATGTCTCTGAGGAGAATAGGAATCCGAAGTTGCTGCACCATTGGACTGAACCCTTTTTTAATAATTTCTAGAGACATACCTATATGACTGCACCATTCGACAGGGTCGAGTTTCTACTCCTCTGTTGAATATAGAAAATCAAAATAATGTATCTTGTAAGACACCATTGAGTTTGACTTTAAATATAGTCGTGCATAGGTATAGAGCCGAAAAATATAAAAACAAAGCACGATTCAATACAGTTATGATAAAACTTTAAGATTTGATATTCAAACGCGGGGTCATCCTATACACTTCTATAATTTTTCGTTTGCTGTGATGTTCACGCCAAGTTTTTCCTCTATCACTTTTGCATTAGTGGTACTATTTTTGAACAAAAAAAATCATAATATTCTTGAATGCCAAACAGTAGTAGCATTAATTCAAAAATGAGGAAAAACTACTTTGGCGTGAACTATTATCCCCTCAAGGAATGACATCTTATTTGGTGACACCTTGTAAACCAACGTACAAAATAAACAAAATAAAATTTGCTACCATTACAAAAAAACACTTAGGGACAAGAAATAACCTTCTTGTGCTATATAATTTAAATTATATAGCACAAGAAGGTTATTTCTTGTCCCTAAGTGTTTTTTTGTAATGGTAGCAAATTTTATTTTGTTTATTTTGTACGTTGGTTTACAAGGTGTACAATTGTTTTATTGCGGAAGGAGATACTTTTTTTGTTATTATAAAAGATTGTTTTTTGCAGTAAATAAATGTTAAGGTACAAGAAAGATCCTTTCTGCCCCTAAAATTTTGTTTATTGCTGCAAAAAAGAAGCTTCTCACTATAAAAAAAAATATTTTATCCATGGTAGAAATAATGTTTTTAGCAGCACATGTCTCTACAGAGACAGCTAGGTATTTTTGTTGTCATTAAAAAACATTTCTGGCATAGCAGAAATTTGTTGTTGCCTTAGTAAAAGATTTTATAGTTATTTATTGGTTACTTTATAACCACACAAAGTTACTTTTTAGGCATAGAAAAATTACTTTGTAGCACAACAGAATTATTCTTTGCAAAGTAGTTTGATTGCCACAGGAAAGTCTGTTCAGCAAAGTGCGTTATCCTGATATAGTAAAGTGTTTGGCTGTCCCCTATTTAAGCAAATGATTTAGCTATGGTTGCTGAAATTTTAGCAAGGAACATAAAGAGATTTTCTCAGTGTAGTATATATATAGTATATATATATATGAATACCGGTGATAGAGTAGTATATGATTATACCATTATAATGAGCAGGTCCTTAACAAATACGAGAAAAAAACTCATGAAATAGGAACTTAAGTATAATAATAAAATCTCAAACTGTACAAAACTAAAAACTTTTCTTATAAAAGTTTGTACATTTAAATATTTGGCAAATATAATATATATTATATAAACAAAATTTTTTTACCTAAAAGAAAAAAAAATAAAATAGGTAGGTAATACATATTTTTATTAGGTAGGTATGTAAGTAGGTAATTATTTATTTTTGTTTCCAAATACATGCATTTAGCATTTCTTTGCTTGGTTTAAATTTTATACAACCTCCTTGTTGCTTTATACCTTCTTTGGTAGCAACTAAAGCTCTAATAGTCTCTGTGTTTAATAAATTTCTCTTATCCGTTTTGATATTAAAAAGATCACTAAAAACCCGTTCGACACTAGCATTGGAAAATGGCAGAACCAGAAATAATGACATTATTACTTTTAAATTTTGAAAAACTTCTATACCAGCAGGATTTTTTAATTTGAAAATTTCTGTCCAATATATTTCAGGATCATCCACTGGTATTTGAAGTTTCTCAAAATCTAAAAGTGCGTGTTGTCGCCACTCGTTGTCTAAAGATTGTGAATTTGTTATGTGATTTTTCAAAACAGGAAATCTGGTAATTATTTTTTGTAAACTTTTCTCTTGAAAAGATTGAGCAACAAGTGGATTAACAATTTCCACGTAACGAAAAACCTCATCTTCAAAAGTGAACCTTTCTTTAATTTGACCAACTATAGTTCAAGGTAAAACTCTAAAATTGTTTTAAGAAAATTGTCCACATCTTTTTTGGTCGTGGAGCTTTCCGATATATAGAGTATTGTTTCGGTTGCTTCTAAACCCAAGTAAATTTTATCCAAAGGAGCAAAATATTTTGGGTTTAAATGATTTAACTGAAAAATATTTGTACATTTTCTTATAATGTTTATTTCCATATAGTTACTACATAAAGTTTTTAAAAGTTTTTCTGTTTCAGGTTTCACTTTGTAAAGGAGAGGTTTTTCAGATTGAAAAAGAATGTTAAAATCAGTCATGAGTCCTAGGGTATAACTCATAAACTCCAAATATGCCTTTGTAAATTTATTTTCTAAGGTTTCAATCATTATTTGAGTCGTATGAGAAGGATCTTCAAACACCAACTCCCTAAAATACCCTTTTAGAGGCTCGTACTGCTCCAAAACCCTATCAACACAATTTTTAATAGACAGCCATCTTGTAACAGCCGGTGACAATATTTTATGGATTTTCACTTCGAAAAATGTTTGAAATTCTTCAAATCGTTTAGTTCTTTGAGAGCTACGGTGAAAATGACTGCCAATATTCCTTAGCAAGTCTTCCACTGATTTGGGCAGTTTTAAACAGGCTTTAGAGGTGGCCAAATGGGCCATATGGCAGGAACATTTTATGCAAATTATATGGGGAATATTTTCTTTTAATAAAGTAAAAACTGAATGGAGTACTCGTGTCCCTGCCATTACGTTCGTCGTGTCCGATGAAAATCCAACAAGATTTGTTAGGGGCAAATTTTTATTTTTTAACGTTAAAATCAATAATTCGAATAAATCAATTGCGGTGCTACCCTCGGACTCTATCAAGTCAAAAAATTGAGTAACGACTTTGTTCTTTTCAATATCAAAATAAATAACAGTGAGAGCGCATTGTTTTTTTGTTGAAATGTCCGTGGTTTCATCTAAAATTAAGGAAAAAAAACAACCAGGTCGCCGGAGCTTTTCATTGAGCTCCTCAAAAAAATGTTTTCCCAGACTTTCAGTAACAACTGCCGTAGCTTTTGTTCGGTGGAGATTGAGCCCCAGAGCAATTTGAGAGTCTGGGAAAATATCTTTGAGAAGCTCAGATAAGGAGTCCATTAAGCAAAAACTTAAATTATTTGTTGCCAATAGACCACATAACTTCATTTCAGCATTTTTAATTTTTGTTGTAGTAGATTTTGTCGAGAAATCTTCAATTCTTTTGTTACTAACAACCTGCTGAAAGTTAAAAATATGTTTTTCACTTTTTGAATGTCTAATTAATGATCCCCTATGACAGAACACTTCCTTTTTGCAAAGTTTGCAAAAGGCCATTTCAGAATCGTCTTTTTTTTTAACCAATCTTTAAAAATTGGATCGCACAGCCACTTACTGGAAAATTTGTACGTTGTTTTGTTCCTGACGATGGTCTTCTTCAAAACTTTCTTTCTTTTCTTCTCTGGTTCATTATTATCATCTTCGTTACTTATCTCAAAGTCGCTGCTTTCTAGCTCTGACTGGCTATTCTGAGGTCCCGATGTCGATGGTCTTGAGACTGAGCTGTTGTCCTCACTGCTTGGCAAAATCTAAAAAACAATTAAAAATAATATTTAAATAATTATCAAGTAGCTATTTAAGTAGGTATTAAGTGGCTATTACACTAGAGTGGCTTTCAACTGCTCATATAATAATATTATTATGTCCCCTCAGGGGACTCCCCTGACTTGACCTAAGAAATTGCAAATGTATAACAGTTTTGTATTTTTTTAAGTAAAATTAAATGTAGGTACTTTTAAAAATAAAATTAAATATACTTATTAGTTATAGGTATAAAAAAAATTCTGAAAGAATTGTGAAAAGTAAAAAATTACAAAAAACACTTACCTGTTTTTTAATGAGCCACGAGTCCATTTTTCCGTTTTATTAACACAAATTCAATAATTAAATTAGAACTAGGTACCTATAGTTCTTATAAGAACTTAACACTGCAACTCCCAAACCAAAGGTATATTAAATTTTATTGTAAATGTATAGGTACCTATTTACGTAGATACCTATTAACATTAAATGTAAAGTAAAAGAGAGATGCCCTCTTCTTTACTAAAGTGTCAGGCGCATGCTCAGTGCGCCTGCGTAGAAGGATTCTACCCAGTAAGCATTGCTCGCGCCATCTGTTCTGCGACTCACCGGTAAATTTAAAATTGTACGGCTGACCCCGCCCTCAATGCCAAGTTGCCAAGTTTCTAATTGCATTTTCATTTTTTTTTATTTTAATGTTGCCAAGTTTCTAATTGTATTTTAAATATTTTTTGTAAGTTTAAAGTTTTTATGTCGTATTTTTAAAACGCACGCAAAACGCACGGTTTCACACGATGTTCGGAAAATGCACGGTCAGGCATGAAAACGCACGAAAACCGTGCAATTGCACGGTCATTGGCAACACTGTTCAATTGGTAAATACCACTTAAATGTTCAGCGCCTGCGCAATTTAATACAATTGACCACTTGTTTCTATTGGCAATTTTCTTACTGGAAAATACCAATAGATAAACTAATGGTCTGAATTGGTATTTTATCGGTGTGTAGGTACAAGGAACCCTATTGGTATATACCACTTTAATATTTATTTTCAAAATTCGCCAATAGGTAGGCAACCCATGCATACCTCTCGCCTCTGTAGCACAATACATAAGCCTATAAAGGTGGAATGCCTTGAGCTGCTAAGTAAGGATTCCTTACTAAGGCAATATTACTGGCCATGGAAACGCCTGGCGTTTTGGAATTTTTAAAGGGGCAGAGGTCGTCCTGTGGCCCACTCTGCGAAAAGTAAGCAGTGGGCCCCACTACTTACTTTTAGCAGAAGCTATTTATAAAATTTAAATTAAATGTTAAACAGCACTATTTTTGAGAAATTATTTAACCATCAAAACACGTAATTTTTTACCTTAAAGACGTCTAAAATGGATAGTGGGGACCAATTCAAACCAATAGCGGTACCTCTGGAAAATCCAAATAGCTCTATTGGGAATTACCAATAAAATATATCTATAATATATCTATTGGGAATTACCAATAAAATACGATTAGTCTCTATCGGTCTGTATTGGGATTTTCCAGCGGTGTCGCTATTGGTTTGAATTGGTAATTCATGGTACAGATACCACTATTGAGACCAATTCAAACCAATAGAGCTGCCGCTGGAAAATCCCAATAGCTTTTCTATTGGTCTTTATGGGTGATTTTTAACAGGGTTTATTTTGATGGTCATTGTTTCGCAGTTGACAACTGCATTTAACTTCAACCCATGACTAAAAAGTCCGAATGCCATTGCTGCCAACTTCAGCCCGTGACTAAAACGCCATAAAGCCACAACTTGTCAATGTGTATTTAAAATATCATGGAAACATGTACGATAATCGGCGTTTTTAAGGCGGGAGTTTAAAAACAATATTATATTTTGTGTATTTGTTATATGACCACAAAATATATTTTGTATACAACTGGATAGCAGCCAACATAGAAAAAGGCAACCAAATTAATACTGGTAATTAATAATTGTTTGTAAGGTATTAATAGATTTAGAGTTTTATAAATAATAAATAAGGTAGTAAGCGTCAGTTAACCTTAAAAATGTAATTACAAACGCAATCTATACCTAACTTATTTAATAGCTGGCCATACACAGGCGTTATTTTGCGCGGTTTATCGTGGCGTGTTGGGATGTAGCGGTTAGTATGCACGAAAGAACGGCATGGCAAAAAAAAGCGTCATGTTCCATACACTTCATAAAGTATTGAAATGATTTAGCAAGTGATTGCGCGCAGTATATCAGTTTCAAAGGAAAAATCGTATGTAAGTGGCCAAAAAGTGTCACGTGACGCGGAATGTGGCGTGTGGACACTACTGAAATGATGTACGCCACAATCCAGAGGAAAGCACGTCTGAAATACCTTCCCGTTCTATCATTGCGCGCGGCGATACTCACTCACGTACATGATTTTCCATATGTTTTTGCAGATAACACGATAAACCGCGCGCAATAACGTCTGTGTATGGCCAGCTAATAGTTTGTGTTACCGATTGTTTTAAATTTGCCGCCATACGTTATGGTGGTAACCATTGTCTATGGTGGTAATACTGGATGGAGAGAAAGCTAAGATGACGTATAGCTCCTTTTTGTTAGAAAGAATCATAGATAACACTGTGAAAGGAATTCTTTGTCTGTGTCGTGAACCTGGTTTAAGGCCGTGAATCTCGTGTTCTCCAAGTGTGTTTGTAATAATATAATATTATTATAGTGTTCTCTTCGAAATAAACCTTAAATACTAATTTGCTTGAAGATTGAAGTGAACAACAATCAGAAAGTTCCAGTGCTTATTAATTGTTTATTTTTAAGTTTAGGGTAGTTATGCTATAATAATTTTTTATTCCATATTAAATTGTCTTTTCATTTAATAAAATGTTATTTTTGTAATTACTTCAGAAACCTGATGTTCAATTGTTATTGTCTTAACCATTTTAATCAAGAAAAAATGCCACTAATTTGCTAATTTAACCGACTTTGTAGCTGCAATAATAATGGAGTTAAAATGGTGGGCAGATAACTTTGGACACTGTGTATATATAAATAATATAACTATTATATTTATTTAGAATTATTTATTTTACTTGTATAATAGGGGTTTATTTTTTATTTTATATAGGTATTACACAGCTAATTAAATTGGCTGTGTAAAATTATATATATGTATACTATAGTATACCCTATAGGGTGTCCCTTATTTTTTATTTTTTCACGCATACCCTCTAATTATATTTATTACGTGTTTATATACTCCCAGTAAAAATTTCAGCTCATTCTATAAACGGGAACCCGTGCCGACTTGCCTCTGAACCCTCCGTTAGCCAACGTTAGGCGCGCGGTATTTTGTAACACGGTTGGTCGCGAGGTCTTCGATCGTAAGTCATTATGTGACCCTTATATTATAAATTATTGACAAATGTTAAAATATGGTTTTATTTATGTGTATACTTTTATAAAAATGTATATTTTCACAGAGAGTGGCTAGTTACCAGGAAGTGAATAGGCCGTAAACTCTGAAATTGATAAACTTAATGGGTTTTACTCTAAATAACTAAAAGAGTCCATTGTGAGAGATGACTACAGAAAACTTATTGAACTGTCTGAAATATTTTTGGACAAGGACATCAAGAAAAGAAATGCTTATAAAAAGCTGAAATTTCATATAACAGTATATGTTAGCAATACTAATTAGTATATTAATATATTTAAGCGATAAAATCAACTAAATTTTTTTTTGCTTATTTTTTAATGGTCATTCAGATATAATAAAAAAAAGAATTTCGGGTAATTAGTTTTACGGCCTATTCACCCGACACTTTCGGGTAACTAGCCACTTCCTGTAAAAATATTCATTTTTATTAAAGTATATATACACATAAATAAAACTATATTTTAACATTTTTTAATAATTTATAATATAAGGGTCAGATAATAACAAACACAAAATGACTTACGATCGAAGACCTAGCGGCCAACCGTGTTACAAAATACCGCGCGCCTAACGTTGGCTAATGGAGGGTTCAGATGCAAGTCGGCACGGGTTCCCGTTTATAGAATGAGCTGAAATTTTTACTGGGAGTATATAAACAAGTAATAAATATAATTAGAGGGTATGCGTAAAAAAAATAAAAATAAGGGACACCCTAATGTATACAGAATTAAAATAATATATTTTATAAAGTAATAAAATGGTATTTGATTGTTTAAAATGTATCCCCAACAAATAACAAGGCCATTCAGAGGATGTCCTCAGGACATCCCATTCCTGACCTACATATATACCCATGGGACTTTCAGGGGACATCCTTAGGATGTCCTATTCCTGGACCTATATATATAGGTCCAGGGATATCCCTAGGATATCGTAAAGGCCATTTGCGGGACGTCTGTAGGCTGGCCTTTTTTGCACCACTTGGCCATGGTTGGGAATCCTGGACGTCCTCAGACCTCCCAACTTGGGATGTCCTGAGGACGTCCAGGATATCCTTGGGATATCCCAATATCCTGTAAGGCTTTCCTTAGAACGTCCTTAGGACAGACTTGTGCTAGCTGAGATGTTACATATAATTTTGTTATTAGAAAAAAATATGTTACAATTCGATAATTATGTTACAAGTGGCAACACTGCTATAGGGACACCTTGTATAACAAGCAAAGAAATTATGAAAAATTATTTTTCCTGTATATACCTAGCCACGGTGGTCCTCGATTAATTTCAACCAAAAAGTCTTTGCACCTCAATTTTTTTTTACTATATTTTTTTATACCATTTAGCATCTACTTTCCAAAAAAAAGTGAAATCCTACATTGGGCACTTTTTAAATAAAATCGATTTTTTGTATTTTAATATAAAAAAATAGTTTCTATCGAGATTTATAGATTACAAAGCTATTAATTTATATTAATACAGTAATAAAATACCATTTTGTGCAATAATTTAAAAAAATGTAACTACCATTGTTTTTATATTTATCTCGTTTAATATTAAATTTTGATAATAAAATAAAATTATAAATAATTACCACCACCGTAAAGGTCATGATTAATTCAAACTCAAAAGTCTTTGCACCCCATTTTTTTTTTACTATATTTTTCTGTCATTTTCCAGCTAATTTCCAAAAAAATGTTAAATCCCACATTAGGCTCTTTTTTAGGAACCTTTATTTATTTATTTTTTTAGATGAAAGCAATCTTGTCCAAAACGATTGATGACAAAAACTTATAAAAATATTAAATACTAACTAACTTAACTTAGGACCTGTTATTTTAACTTCTATTTTACAATAAAACCATAGCATTAGTAAAAAAATTAAAAACGACAAAAAAA